AAAACTAAGATTGGTTATGAGTTCGTTCTTAGTTCGATATGCATACTGGATACCGAAGTTCATTTTCGAACGTTCGCCACAATGGTTAATGGGTAAAATTAAACTACGAGAGAACGATACGAATACAGTGGTTTAACGTATCTAATGTTGGTACTAAGTTGATAAGTTTTTATAATTTTTCATATTTAATTTTTTTTTTGTAATTTCTAATATATTTTTTTTTATACAAAGGATATGATCATTCTTTTTCGCTTTGACTATTTAAACACTGAAAATGGGAATGATCTCATTATTGCTATTCAAAAACTCACAAATATAAACTAATTTATTGGCTCCTGTGTATAATGATGTGTACACTCATGTTAAAATGAATAACGCTTTTATTTTTTATGAACTATATTTTATTTATATACAAAAATATGGTTAAAAGCAAGAACCCAGGCGTTTTAAATTATTTTCTGTTACTTATTATCATAATTTTACTTTGAATGAGAATGTACTGAAAAATACTGATTTTTTTTAGCATGAAAAAGTCTAATGTGCTGATTTCACGAACAAAAAATCTGGCAACCCTATGCATCTGTCGGCCACTGGTGGTGACCAGACCATGTCCCTTCTCGTGGGCACCCTTTTCGCCATACCTATGCCGCATCATCTGTCCATGACACCCAGACTCCCGCCTTCATGCTGCACTGCCTTTAGCACATCTTGCTACATCCGGATTCTTACGCTGAAACTTCCGCCGTCGTTTCGTATCTTGCTCTTCCGCCGATGCTAACTTCATTGACCGGACATGCATAATCTCAACCTTGGTATCCGGCTTAACTGCTCGCCTTTGCCGACCACCTTTTTCGGGACACTTCAAAGCGCGTCTACTGCTCCCACAGCTGCTTCCGATGATGACTTCATCCACAATGTCTGCCACTATAAACTTAGTGTACGAAGCCACACCGTCGATTATTACCTTGCATGGTACTTCTCCTAACACTTGGGTGCGTCCACCAGTTGCAGTCTGCAGCTTTGCTGCAGGTAGTGGCTTCACATAAAAAGTGTCCAAATCCGGTCGAATAATAGAATGTGTCGCTCCAGTATCCACTGGCAGTACTCTCTCCTACCCATTCACACATCCACCAACAGTGAGGTTGCATGCTTTCCGGCCAATTTCTGAGGCGGAGATTATGGGCCCTACAACTCCTGGAGCCAGCACGCGGCCCTTCCTGCTGGCTCGTTTCAGTGACTGATTGGAGTTGGCTTCGTCTCCTTCAGCCCTGCGTTTGCGTCGTGCTGAATTGTTGAGCCCACTGACACTTGCACTGCAAACGCGGGCGAAGTGGCCTGGCTGTCTACATTTAAAACATTTGCCAGAGCCATGCTTTTGCTCGCTCAGCAGTTGGATAATCTTCTTTTTCATTTCATTTATCTCGTCCGGTGTTTCCACTTCCACGCGATGTGCTTTGTAGGCTGGTCTACTTAGGAGCGCCGCCGTTTCATGCGTCTGAGCATACGAGACAGTTTCAGCAAATGTTGGCTTTGGATTCGCATACGTCTCGCGCTTGGTATACATGTCTCGCATTCCGTTGATGAACCTCTGGATCTTTACCCAATAGCTAAGTGAGCCAACCTCTCGATCTCTGAAGCGAATTCTTGTAGAGTCTCATTGGCTTTTTGGCAGCGATTCTCCAGCTCTATCTGGTAAATCTGTCTCCTGTGCTCGGTACCATAACGTCTTTCTACTGCACCCATTAACGCATCGTAACTGTCCCTTTCACAATCGGGAATTTTCTGCAAGCTCTCCGCTGCAGGTCCTTTTAATGCAACGAACAGTGCAGCGGATTTATCCTCCATTTTTTAGAACTGGAGCTTAAAGACCTGGAAAGGAATTGTGCCGTCAAAGGATGGGGTTTTTACCTTGGGAGCGTTCGTCGAAGTAGCTGGACGATTCATCTGTAAATCACGAAGACGACCTTCCAATTCTTCTACCTTTGCTTTGACTTTCTCCTGTCTCTCTTCAAGTTTGTCCTGTATTCGTGTAATTTTTTCATCTAGCTGCGATAACATGTACACTCTGTGCTTCCAGCTGCGATGACATGTGCGTTTTCTGTGCTTCCAGCTGCAATGAAATCTGTGATGACATCTGTGACATGCGTGTATCCTGCGCTTGCATCATCTGTGACATGGCAGCCAATAATGTGTTCATGTCCATAACTGTTGATGACGAAGGAGCCTTTTGCTGTTCTTCAATCTTCCCGGATATCTGCTGCACATCCTTAGACGAACAAGCGGCCTCATCCTTCTGTTCATTCTTTGCGGATGCATCGTCGAGTTTACCCTGGAAGTCGTATTTGTCCACGTCGATGCCTTCTGCTGTTTGAGTTCCTCGATCTTTAGTTCTTGAATTTTTGCCATTTTCAAAAGTTTATCCTTCGGGATTTATTTAACAATCCCACTTCTGACACCAATTGTTACGATTATCCTAAAAAACCTTGAGGGATTTCCCAAATATTCTACGGCTCGTATCGCTGGATTGTTAAACAAATGCTCATGATGACCAAATTGTAGTACGATTAACTTTATTGTACAACAAACAATTTACAATACTCGCTAATACCGTAAAAAGACTTTGCAATACTCATTAAAGCAATTACAATGCTTTACAAAACTTCCCAGCAAGAACGACCTAACGCATTCTCTAATACACTTAAAAAATTGTCAAAAAAATCAACACATTTGCATATTAGCGATACCCATATGCCATTCTTTGCGTTATATAACACGTTATTAATCGCATAATAATATTTTATTGAAAAGAGACAACTACATTTAGGATTATATAATAGCGAACTCCATGTAAACGAAAGAGAAAGCTGCTCACACGTGAAACGATTATGCGTTAGATTTCTCCAGAAGCCCTGTGTAAAATGGTGGAAAGTTTTTGAATTTCTCACACAAACTGTTTGTAGAACTAGGCGTATATAACGCATTAGTTAACAGATAGGGTTCTTACTGGG